AACCGCTCTGACTGTCAGGAAATTCTTCCCAGTGTTTAGGTGAAAATCCATTGATTCTGGTCCAACCTTAAGACCTGGGACAATGGTGCTTAAGACGTGGGAAATTTTTCCGTTGAAAACTAAAGCAAAGGAAAATTTTCTGGAAAACCTTGGCCCCCCATGCCTCTAGTGATCATCCTTAAAGGGAGAGCAAATAACTCTCTTTTGACGACTGTGTGGATATAAGCCCGCTCGCGGGGAGGGCGGGGTAAAAAGGTAAAGGTTCCCTTGCTCGAAAGCCAGTCAAATCCGACTCTAGGGTTGCAGTGCTCATCTCCATTTCAAAGCCAAAGAGCCAGCGCTGTCTGAAGACGTTTCCGTGGTCATGTGGCCGGAATGACTGAACACCAAGGCGCACGGAACACTGTTACCTTCCCACCGAAGCGGTACCTATTTATCTACTTGCAATTTTTTGCTTTCGAACTGATCATCCTTAAAGGAAGACCAAATAACTTTCTTTTGACGTTCATGTGGATATAAGCCCGCTCGCGGGGAGGGCGGGGTAAAAAATGTCAACTAAATAAATAAATAAGGAGCCTTCTTTGCAACCATTCAAACAGCTAAGTTGGTCCTTTGATTGATCTGGCTGGAAGTGAAGTAGCTAGATCACCACGGTGCCTCTCCAGGATCCAGGCTTTCCACTGTAAGGGCTGGTTCAGACGTCATTGTGAGGAGCTGCTTTGCTATCCTGGTCACACACCTCTGGCCGAGGACAGACTGGCAGTTTGAAGCGCGAGGGAGTCATGGCAAAAAGATCCGGCACAAACTGTTCTGGGTTTTCCCGATCACACTGCACCGACTGATGCCCGAGTATACTGGGGAGGAGGCGCAAGGGAGCGTTCGCACTGTTGGCGGAGGTGCAACTGTAAGGCGCGGCTTTCTTTTTGGTAATCTGGAGATATGCGCATAAGCGCATAAGAAAAACGCGGCTTTCGGCATTCACACTTTGTTGGTGCGGGATGGACACAGGATAAGTGCGCTCTCCAGGGTTTGATACCACTTTCACCTGGTATCTTTTCTGGAGGCAAGCGCTACAAGACGGGCTGAGTACGGCCGGGGAACGCCTGACAAATGTGCCTGTGTGAACCGGCCCCTTTAATCTGTTTGTGAAACGTTTCTGGCACGTTCCTATCTCGGGGCAAACTGCCAGTCTGAACTCAGCCTCTGGTTGTGTGAACCACATTAAGGAGCAAACCAGAAGGTCACAGATCTCAAAATGAGCTGTTTCCCAGGGTTTCTGAAATCCTACTGTATAACCTTTGGCTGGGATTCTTTAGCTCCTCAGGAACTGGGTGGGCTCCTGAGCAGTGCTCCCTCTAAGCCGTGGAGTCTTGTGAGCAAAAATCCTACTTTGTGAGCTACCGGCATGAAAGTTGTGAGCGATTGATTCGGCTCCTATATAAATTAGTTTGCTCTGGAGCCCTCCTTCCTGAGCGAAGGCAAAAATGTGTGAGCGGAGGCTGAAAAACTGAGCTAGCTCACACTAACTCAGCTTAGAGGGAACACGGCTTTTGAGAGTGGGCGCCGCAGGGCGAAGTAACACCTAAGTCAACCTGAAGACCTGGCATTAGGCAAGATTAGGCAAACACAGGGAAAACAGGCGATGCGTGAACTCCAAAAACGATACGCTTGGAACCAGAGTGCCAACTGTCAGTCCATGACCCTACCCCTTGCCTGCTGCCGTCCAAATTTTACGCGGGTCTTCACTCAGATGTTCTTTATTCCTTTTTCTAAAACTGTCTCTTCAAGGACTTTCCCAGAACAAGATGTTTACACCATCCCAATCTACTTCTCTTCCGACTGGCTGAATGAATACTGGGACGCCATAAAAGTGGATGACTATCGCTTTGTCTATATGGGACCCAAGGGCTCGTGGTAAGGCCAACGGGACCCCTCCATGGGTTTTCTTTGGACTGAGTGCTTGTGTCAAAGTAAGACGGAGAGCACAGGCCTCAGTTCCAAACGAACAGGCGTAGGGGTAGAAGTGACACTGTTGTTTAGGAAGAAGGCTAGAAGAACGCACCTACTCAAAAAACTTATACAACAAAGTTAGAGTCCAATGGCACCTTTAAGACCAACAAATTTTTATTCAAGCTATGCTTGGGGGTCGCGTAACTAGTTAGCATGCCAGTGTCTTGTTTGTTATTGGAATTAACCAGACAAATCTCTCCACCAACTAAGAACAGCCGTGCACCACCACCCACAGAATCGAGAAAGGGCTATCAGTTCAGCAGTCCTTTCCGTGTCCAGGCTGGGTGAGGTTTCCCGTGATGCCTGGTTAATTCCAATAACAAACGAGACATCTTGAATAAAAAATTACTGGCCTTTAATGTGCCATTGGATTCTAACTTTGTTGTATTGCTTCAGATCAATACGGCTGCCCACCTTGATGAGCCAGTTTGGTGTCGTGGTTAAGTGCGCGGACTCTAATCTGGGAGAACCGGGTTTGATTCCCCCCTCCTCCACTTACACATGCTAGATGACCTTGGGCAAGCCGTAGTTCTGGCACAGCCCCACCTACCTCACAGGGTGTCTGTTGTGGGGAGGGGAAGGGAAAGGAGTTTGTAAGCTGCTCTGAGACTCTGAGTGAAGGGTGGGATATAAATCCAATCTCTTCTCTTCTCCTTGATCTATCAGAAAACTTGCGTTTCACATTTCAGCACACCATACCTGGCATTGACTGCCCTCCTTATTCCAATGTATTCCCAGGCATTTGAGACTTTGCTCATGCCCTTCTGAGTTAATTGAGACCCTCCCCCATATATTACTTCATTGCTCTTATTATGCAGAAGAAAGAGCCCTCTTAATCACACCTATAGTAAGATCATTTAGGTTCCAAGGACAACTAGTAATCCATTCTGAGGAACTTTTGCTGACATACTTATTGGAGGATAAATCCTCCGCCATATCAAGGAATGTTGCTAAATTTCTTTTTATTGCATTTACAAAGCGCAAGCACCTCCTTAAAAGTTCTTATGATGTCTCACTTCTGTAATGCTTTGGTAACCTGGGACTGTCTTGTTTGTTCCTGTATGCTGTGTGATGAGTCTCTGACCATAATAAACTCTGATGATGACTGCCCCCCTTTAAATGTTAGGGAACCTATGAGAGCACAGGAGGGTGCCCCCCCCCTCGGTCGGTCCATTTTACAATCCAGCCTCCGCTTCTCCTATGCCAGAGCCTGTTCCTAATCTTCTGATTCACCCCACAGGACTCCCTTTCACGCAGATGTCTTCCGCTCCTACAGCTGGTCAGCCAATATCTGTGGGAAAAAGAAATGGCTGATCTTTCCCCCGGGGCAAGAGGAGAACCTCCGAGACCGCCATGGCCACTTGCCCTTTGACATCACCTCCCCCGAGCTGAAGAAGAGCAGCGTTTACCCTCGCTACGCCCAAAGCACTGCTCCCGTGGAGATCATCCAGGAAGCCGGGGAGATCGTCTTCATCCCCAGCGGGTGGCACCATCAGGTTTACAATCTGGTAAGACGTTTCGGAGAGCGAGTATCATCCTTTAAGAGGTTAACGGCCCCACTGCATGGATTCCTGGAGTAGTTTTTGAGTTGGGTGCTGTCACGGCTCAGGGGGGGTGTCACCTGACGCTGCCACCACTCTGGATTTAGGTTCCCTTGAGAAAGCCCAGAGCACCCTCCCAAGACCTTCAGACCTCCCTTTTGGCCGAATAACAGGCGTGAGGACCAGGCAGAGTGAAACAAGGAAAAGGTTTATTTTATAGGTCAAACAAACAAGATGCAGAATATTAACAGTAAGTGGGTGAAAAGAAATCAAATGCCCTAGCGCGTCTAAATATATGCTGTCCCTAGCTCACTATCCCAAGTGGCACTAGACTACTCACCGTTCCCTCAGGATGAGGGTCTCTCCCCTGCAGCAGCCTTCCTTCTGGCTCTGCCCTCTGGGAAGAAGAACAGCTTTTCCTGCTGCTCCAGATCTTTTATTCCAAGCCCTCCTCTTTTCCTATTGGTCCATTTTGGCTCCAAAACCTCTCGGGGGCTTCTGGGAGTTGTAGGCCCAGCCTCACCTACTGCTAGCCAGGCTCCCTGGGCCTAGTAGGCCTCTGGTGGCACAGCCCAGATCATGACCGGTGCAAAGAAGCGGAAGGAAAAGAATCGTAACTCTTTGGCAGAGTGCACGCTTTGGATGCAGGAGGTCCATGTAAAAGAATTCATGCAGGATAATCTTAATATTGAGCAGGCCTGGGCCTCTTCCTGGAGAGGAACTGCTCTTCCCCAATGCTCAGTATTTTGCCCAATGGACCAGTGTTCTAACTCAGTATAAAGCATCTTTATATTTCAAATAAGTAGGAGCAAGGCAATATGCCGGCTGAGTGGCTGGCGAGCTCACTGTTTGATTTTTTTTAGAAGCAAATTTAACTACTCCTGCATTTTTTTTAGAAAATACACATTTTCCCAGTGCTGTCAGAATGCGTCTCACATTCCGTGACATTACAGCAGCTAAACTCAGGGCTATTTTTGGGCAGGAACGCACAGGAACGGAGTTCCGGCTGGCTCCTGAGTTGGGCACACCCAGCAGGAACTCATTAGCATAATAGGCCACACCCAACAGCAGAAACTCATTATAATTGGCTACATTAGGGGTATGTGGCCTAACATGCAAAGGGTTCCTGCTACAAAAAAAGCCCTGGGTTTTGACAACAAACAAGGTAAACAGAATAAGAAGGGAAAGGTGGGTGTGGCTGGATGACCACAGTTCTGGGAACATGTGGGGTGTGGCCTAATATGCTAATGAGTTTCTGCTGTTGGGTGTGGCCTATTATGCTAATGAGTTCCTGCTGGGCTTTTTCTACCAAAAAAAGCCCTGGCTAAACTATTGTGGAATTGACATACAGGCAAGCCATGTTTAGGGTTTGAGGAATTCCTTTTTGTCCTTATGTATGGCTGTGGCTCAGTGGAAGAGCCTTGGCTGTGCGTGCCAGAAGTCCCAGGTTCAATCCTTGGCATCTCCAGTTCAAAACAAAACAAAAACCAGGCATTAGGTGATGTGAAAGACTTCTGAAGCCCTAGAGAGCGACTGCCAGTCTGAGTAGATGATACTGACTTTGGTGGACCCAGGGCCTGATTAAGAGAGCTAGTTTGGTGTAGTGGTTAGGAGCAGTATTCCCTCTAAGCTGAGTTCGTGTGAGCTAGCTCACAGTTTTTTAGCCCCCGGCTCACACATTTTTGTCTTAGCTCATGAAGGATGGCTCCAGAGCAGGCTAATGTATGCAGTAGCCAAACTGCTCACTCACAAAGTAGATGTTTTGCTCACAAGACTCAACAGCTTAGAGAAGGGGTGTCAAACATGCGGCCCGGGGACCGGGTCAGGCCCCCGCAGGGCTTCCATCAGCCCCGCAGTGGAACTGGCCATCTCCTGCTTCCAGTGCTGTTGCTGCTGCTACATCATAGCTTGCTTCACCAGATTCTCTTAAACACTCAGCCATTCTTCGTTTCGCCTCTTCATCAGAAAAATTCCTATGCTTGTCTAGTTTCATTCATACCACAGTTTGACATATCCTATACAAATCTTCTCCTGGTTTTTCTACCATAAATACATTCTTAAACCAAACGTTTCACCGGGCGTGACTTAGTAGGAACTTTGCATCATGAACTAAGTCATGAACTAAGTCAAGAATGAAACTAGACAAGCATAGGTGTAGGAATTTTTCTGACGAAGAGGCGAAACGAAGAGTCGCTCCGGAGGTTTTTGTCGGATTCACTTGCATTTTTGATAGAAGTTCACCTTCACCCGAAACTTACCATTCTTTTGTGCATTAGTATCTGCTTTAATATTGTTGTATGTTATAATATACTTTGATATGCTCGAGCGCTTTGTTCTATCAGTCTGTGCTTCGTTTGTTTGATCATCTCAGGACTATGTTCTCCATTGCATATGTGTCTTTCAGGAGGACACCATCTCCATCAACCACAACTGGGTGAACGGGTGCAACGCAGCCATCATGTGGAGCTTCCTCCAAGACGAACTCGCCGCCGTCCAGCGGGAGATCAGGGAATGGAGAGAAACCATGGAAGACTGGCACCTGCAGTGTCAGGTAGAGAGCAGCTGGCCGTCCGCGAAGGTGCAGGGGAGGGGGTAGCCGCGCCAGTCTCCTCCAGCCAGAATCACAAAGCCTCGTGGCGTCTTAAAGACTATCAAAGGCATTGCGACAGAAGGTTGTTTTGTGATCCAGGGCACACTTGGTCAGATGCAGGCAATGCTCCCTCTAAGCTGCGGAGTCTTGAGAGCAAAAATTCTGCTCCGTGAGCCAGCTGGCCATCCGCGAAGGTGCAGGGAGGGGGAGTAGCCGCGCCGGTCTTCTCCAGCCAGAATCATGAAGCTTCGTGGGGTCTTAAAGACTATCAAAGGCATTGCGACAGAAGGTTGTTTTGTGATCCAGGGCACACTTGGTCAGATGCAGGCAATGCTCCCTCTAAGCTGCGGAGTCTTGAGAGCAAAAATTCTGCTCCGTGAGCGACTGGCATGAAAGTTGTGCGCGAGCAAGATCTGGCTGTATAAATTAGTTTGCTCTGGAGCCTTCCTTCCGGAGCTCAGACAAAAGTGTGTGAGCCGGGGGCTAAAGAACTGTGAGCTAGCTCACACTCACTCAGCTTAGAGGGAATGCTGGACGCAGGAAATGTCCCGCTCAGTCGGCCGTCTGACCAAGTAGGCTAAGGACTGCAAATGCTGCAATAGCTGTGTGAGTCTTTGTGGTTCCACAAGACACTCTGTGGAAGTGAGCGTAGAAACCCATCTGCTATTTGTCTTGCAAGACCATCAAACAGCACCAACAGCCATAATGCAGCAGAGTTAACAGCCAACTGTCTGCACAGTTGCAGCAGCCCACTGCTGTCGTTTCAAGCTTGCCTGCTGCTCCTCACACCATCTGTTTTCCAAGGCCGGTGTTTCCCAGCTCATTAGGTGGCTGATTGTATTGGCCACAGCAGGTGGGAAGGATGTCCATCAGAATGGAGGGGAAGGGACCACTGAGAACAGCCTACAGCTACTGATTTTGTACCACACAGACGGTTCTTTGCCTTACGGTGGCCTGTGAGGGTCAAGAAAGAGCGTTCATCTTCAGCAGTTTCTTTGGGGAAGCATGAGCTAACATGACCTATGCCCTTCTTACCCTCATGGATGCCACAAAAAGGATTTAGATGCATTAGCTGTTGTAGATTTTCCTGGTTGTATGGACGTGGTCTTGGCATTGCGGTCTTGCCATTTCGCATATTCACAGCCTGGGGAACGCCTACAAGATAATGACTCAGCCCTACCCCACCTTCCTGAGTAGATCTAAATTACCTGCCTACCATTTTCTTCTCACCTTGACACAGAGAGTACTCCATCTTTCTGTGTTATACCTCTGAGGATGCCAGTCACAGCTACTGGTGAAACGCCAGGTCCTACAATGCCAAGACCACGGCCACACGCCCTGGAAAATCTACAATAGCTCATGAACTCCGGCCGTGAAAGCTTTCGACAGCAGATTTAGATGCAAATCAGACCTGGGGATGCTTAGAATCTGGAGACAGTGGGCAACGACTGTAGTTATTGCTGGGGAGTTGGACGGAGACTGGGGAGGCTGGAGCTCAAATGCCCATGAGTCGTAATGCTCCCCGGGGGACCTGGGGCCAGGCACAGTCACGCAGCCTCATTTTTTACACAGGGATCTAAGGGGAAAAAGAAGGGGGGAGTTACACAGGCTGCTCCGAACTCCTTGGAGGAAAGGCGGGAGAAAGAAAGACGCCAAGAATTAAATTGTCCGTATTCCATTCAATGTAGGGACCGGTGCTCACGACCTCTTAACCTTTTCCTCTCACCCCCACAGGTACTGATGAAGTCTTACACAGGCATCGACTACAAGGAGTTCTACAATTTCCTGAAGATCATTGCAGAGAACCGGATCTTTGTCCTCGAGAACCACCATTCTGAGGAAGAGGCCTCCAAGCATTGCTACCGAGCCGCCATCTCCGGCCTGGGCATGCTGCACGCCGTCTTCGACCTGAAACGGACTGCCAAGGTGTTGACGTCCCTGAACGCCAACGAGGATTTCAAGAAACTGAACCCTGAGTCCTTCACCCCGCCTCCTCATGCTCTCCTACACCGCCTGAAAGCAGCGATAGATACAGCCCTCCTCTAGTCCCCCGTTTATTTCAACCAGTTGCAGAAATCGCTGTTCTTGCAACCTGGGTGCATGCTGGTTATGTTGACCCTCCCCATTTAGAAGCCTTAAAGCACAGTGAATTTCCAGGGCAAGTGGGGAACGCAGACGCAGAAGGGCAGGGAATTTAAGTGTGTGGGAAATTGGTCCTAGCTGGGAAAGAGAGAACAAATGTAAAAGGAAGAGAGTCTGACCCACAAATCAAGCAGTCAACAAGACTTGTAAAGAAAACGCTTTCTGTATATTATGGTCAACAAGCACTACACCACAATAAACAAATTCCTTCAAATCGTAAGAAAACCCTAGTGTAAAAATACATCATCAGCGTCGTCTCCGGATTAGATAACGACGTTTCAAAACTGAGACGCCTGGGATCCATTAGAAGCTTCGTAGCATATTTGAGCCTGAATACTTATTGAGATCAGCGTCCTGTCTGAATGTATTAACTTTTCTGACTTTTTGTAAAGCACTTTATGCGCAAGAGAGCTTTTGTATCGTTCTAATATTTCCTCTAGTCAAACATTTTTATTATCAGGATATAATATCATTTCCAACTTAAAAACATTTCCCCCTTTTATTCATTTTATACCCTTTTCCCCTCCTATCCTCCCCCACTCTACGTCAGGCTTCCCGCAGTGCTCCCATCCAAATTTTCCATTTTCTCCTCACTTATCCATTGTTTTATCGTTACATCTATCAGGTAACATTATCTTAAAACTAATATTTCTATACTTTCATCTACTTCACAGTTCTTATAACCTTAATAGTTATCAAAGCAAAATAAATTGTTTTTCACATCCCAGTATTTCTCCAAATACTCTTTAAAGTCCTTCCAGTCAGCAAAGAATTCTTCCGCCTCCTGATTTTTAAGTTCCCTTGTCAATTTGTCCATTTCAACCATAAAAAGTAACTTTTTTATCCATTCCAAAATCTCCGGTATATTTTCTTGTTTCCAACATTGAGCATAACTCACTCTAGCAGTTGTAATCAAGTACCACATCAAAGTCCTCTTTGTTATATTCACTTCTTCCATTTTCAGTCCCAAGAGTAATACTTCTGGTTCCTTCTTAAATGTACATTTCAATATTTTTTCCCATCTCATTATGGACCTCCGTCCAAAATTTTTTTGCTTTTTCACAAGTCCACCACATATGGTAAAAAGAACCTTCCTTTTTTTTTTTACATTTCCTCATTCTAATATTTCCTGAGGTAGATCTAATTTTGACACATTATATAATCCGGAGATGATGTTGATGATGTATTTTTACACTAGGATTTTCTTATGATTTGAAGGAATTTGTTTATTGTGTTGTGGTGCTTGTTGACCTTAACACATAGAAAGCATTTTCTTTACAAGTCTTGTTGACTGCTTGATTTGTGGGTCAGACTCTCACGACCGTTTTCTTTACATCTGTCCTCTGATCAGGTCGTGATTGTCCACACCTGGCTGGGAAAGTACATTCCCCCCCCTCAACGTAGGCATGGGGGAGGGTGTGATCCATTTGCTCACCGAGAACGACCTATACATGGAATGGATTCTTTGCTTCAAGTCTCCTCTGTTTTGGTCAAGTGAGAGGAATCTGAAGCTAGAGCCCCTCCCTGTTAAGAGAAGCTTCCCTGTTGACCTTCTATAGGTAGCAGAAGACTTGTTTTATGCGCTTGGTGGGCTGTGGTTCCCCTTCTTCATGCCTAACACTGAATAGGGGCCGTGTGTGTGTGTGTGTGTGTGTAAGATAAGTGGTGGGGTTATGCTTTGTAATAGGAAGTCTTGGGCCATCTGCTGATGGGGGCAGGTGACCCGTGAGGAAAGGATAGCCGGTGGCCGACCGTCGGCTGCTGATAGGATTTCTCTGTGCAAGGGGTGTGTCTGGTATACCACTCCCAATATAACTAAAGGGCACAGCAATCAAAATACATCAAGTAACAAAAAATTGCTGCAGTAGTTCAAACATTCACAGAATAAAGACAATTATATATTAGCATTTCCATGTTGTTTTAATCCAAAATTTCTTTACGAACTTCCTCGAGTTTCATTGTTCATTTCGAGGCATATCTTTATCAAAATTCTGTTTTGTTGTAATTCTTTCACAAAGCAATCCAATATTTAAGAAGTTGACACATTCCGAATGGCTAAGAATAGCTCCCAAGTTAACAAATAGTTCCTTTTAGCGGACAGCGGAATTTTAATAAAGATATGCCTCGAAACGAACATTGAAACTCGAGGAAGTTCGTAAAGAAACTTTGGATTAAAACATCATGGAAATGCTAAGATATAATTGTCTTTATTCTGTAAATGTTTGAACTACTGCAGCAATTTTTTGGTATACCACTCCCGTCAGGCTTGACGCCACCCTTCCAAGGCCGTCGGCCAATGGAGGCTGAGACACACCCTCCATGGAGCTCAGCTGAAATTTGGGTGCCACCCCCCCCCCCGAGGGAAAACTGTTCCAATTGTCAGTTGTGGAGAGTGACCTAGAACCCTTTCTTGAACTGCGTTGACATTTTCAGTTACTGCCTAAAAATATGGCTAGGAACGTGGCATAAAAGGAAAAAAAAGAGAGGTAGTAGCTTGTATCAGTGCCTCAACTTGTAGCACAATTACCTACATGGACTTCAGGGAAGAGAATAAGCCCTTTCTGGACTTGTCGCTTGGCAGGCTAAGTAATTCCGTGCTGACGGCAGGCATACTTTCCGTGCTCACTCTGCTTTCTCTCTCTCTTCTCTCCCACGCATTTCTGAATGACTTCTGTGCCCTTGATCAGTATTACAATGAAGTATGGTGACCTAACAGCACCGGGTGCAAGCAAAACTGTCTGGGTTTATCTGCGCATGTTATTTTGTCAATGGTGTGCCCATACTGTGTTGGGTTTTTCCCGCCTTCATGTGATTTGCTCCCTCTAGTGGTTGCTTCGATCTTTCACAGGCATGTCTCCGGTTTACTTACGAGCACTTTGTGCTCGTAAATAAACCGGAGACATGCCTGTGAAAGATCGAAGCGACCACCAGAGGGAGCTCATAAACTGGAGAAATACCTGTGAAAGATCAGAGCGACCACTAGAGGGAGCTCATAAATAAACCGGAGAAACACCCGTGAAAGATCAGAGCCACCACTAGAGGGAGCGAAACACATGCAGAAAAGAAAAACGAAACAGTATGGGCACACAGCCGATTGAAATAATAGGTGGAAAACCCCGCTTTCGGGGGTGGAGATTCTCCATTGGCACAGCGTGGCCCAGTGAGAGTCTTCAAGCAAAGGCCAACACAAGCCAAAAAGACCCCCGTAGGAGCATGGTTGCATTGTGGGAAATGCGTGTTTCTCTGGAAAATAAAGAAAGGAACTAAGAGGAGACAAGGTGAAAGGGAAGGCTAACTTATGTTTAGTGCATGGAGATTCTGTCTCGTTGCCACAGGCATGCAGTCTTTAGGGGGCGTGGTTCGGCTGTGTCTGTTCCATTATTCTGGTTACTGAGCACAATTATTCATGGTATTGTACATGAGGAAGGGCTGGAATCTAGGGTGGGGGGCACTGCCCTTGCAGTGTGAAGCAAAGAGAACTAAAGTTTCTGAGGCTTCTAAATGGGGACTTGGCAGGATAGGACTCGTCCCCCCTTCACTAGATCCCGTTAGACTTTCCACTCGAACCCCTAGTTTGGGGGGGGGGGACCATTTAAGCACTGAGCTGAATTTTCCTCAAGCCTCAACGGTTCTGCCAAGTTGACCCCGAGACCTTTCTGAAACCGTACATTAAAAAAAAAAACACCCTTATTTAAGCATCAGAGGTTTCATCTCGTTATTTTAAACCATGAGCGATTTGGATGTCGTACTAAAGTTGATTCACGATAATGTGAAGGCTAACTGGGAATGCGTCTTGCTTTTTCCCCTTCCCAGCCCCCCCAAAAAGCAGTCGGTCAAGGAATGTTACCGCTCCATACAAAAACTGGCTCGTGGAAGTCATTTAGTTTCTCCTTTCCTACAATCGGTGAAGCTGAAATGATATCACTACATAAGAACCTCAGAAGAGCCCTGCTGGATCTGAAAAACAGTCCATGTAATTCAGCCTCCTGCCTCACACAGTGGCCAATCAGTTGTCTCTGGCTCTGGGATTCAGAGCATTAGTGCTTCTGAGTGTGGAGGTTCCCCCTCAGTCACCGTGGCCAGTTGCCATTGATAAGACTTTATCCTCCATTAATCTATCTAATCCCTATTCCCTTATTAAGGCTGTTTATTCCTGTGGCCATCACTTTATCCTCTGGCAGCAGATTCCACATTTTAATCACTCTCTGTGTAAAGCAGTATTTCCTTTTGTCCTCCCTGAACCTACTGCCCATCAGCATCATTGGATGCCCTCGAGTTCTAGTCTTTTGGGAGAGGGAGAACAATTTCTCTTTGTCAACTCTCTCCACCCCATGTGGAATTTTATAAACCTCTATCATGTCCCCCCCTTAGTAGTCTCTTTTCTAAACTTAAAAGTTCCAGACCCTTCAGACTTTCCTCACTGGGAAGGTGCTCCAATCCCCTCCTCTGTTGTTGTTGCCCTCCTCTGTCCTTTCCAGCTCTGCAATGTCCTTTTTGAGATACAGTGACCAGAAATGTACACAGTATTCCAAATGAGGCCCCACCATAAATCTATATAGGGGCATTACAATATTGGTTGTTTTATTCTCAATCCCTCTTCTAATAATCCCTAACATAAGGTTTGCCTTTTTCAATGCTGCACCACACTGGGTTGACATTTTCATTGAGCTATCCGTGACGACCCCAAGATCTTTTCCCCTCTCATTCTCACCCCTAATGTAGCCAATCCTCCAAGAGCTTACAGAACTCTTCTTACAGGGGTTACTGTAAGCTCTTGGAGGATTGGCTACATTAGGGGGGTGTCGTCCAGGGCTCTTTTTGTAGCAGGGACTCCTTTGCATATTAGGCGACACCCCCCCTAATGTAGCCAATCCTCGAGCTTACAGGGCTCGTCTTACAGGGGCTACTGTAAGC